GATTTTCTCAATATTATGATTTTTTTGCACCCTCAGATTCCAGATCTTCAAATAGCTGCATCTATTTATTCATCTTTCAGACGATGCATACATCTCAATTTCGAAAAAGTGACTCTTATGACTGGTTTTGTGCTCCAGGGTCACAAATAATAATAATAATAGTTAAAATAATATTACAATTTTACAGTAACAAACACTATGATCTCACTGGCCTTTAAAGGACATTAGTATGTTTTTGCTTCATGCCGTGTGTATATGATATTATTGATATTATTGATTACATCCATCGAACCCTGCAGCACACCTGCACAGACGCCCTGCAGAAACAAAACATGTCTTTATGGAAAAGCATGAATGTGAGTGAGTGAATAATTACACAAACACAGAAGTAACTTGCGATCCCTGATTCACAAACACCCATTGCATGCAATGCATTCTCTTTCTACAGTGCTGAATTAGTTTTATGCTTAAAGGCGTAATCGGCAACACTTCAGATTAGAGAACACTATTCACTAGTTGCTTATTAACATGCATATTAATTATTAACATGCATATCAATTAACCCTTTCCAATACCTAAACACACCTTACATTAAATTAAGAGTTTATTAAGAGAAAACTTAGTTAATAGTGAATATGTGTTTGTCTAATCTAAACACCATCTAGCCTGACACACCCCGTGTGGTTTTATTAAAGAATACAGCAAGAAACCACTGGTTACAGTTAGTTTTCAAGACTTAATCACAAGCTCAGCAGCTACAACCGCGTTTCGATGCTGTTTACTAGAGGCAGTACTGCTGTTAACAGGCTAATCTCACTTATTTATTCTCCTCCAGCCCTGCTTCTACAGCTCAAGACAACTAGATGAAGTGTGCATGTGTATGTGCATTCTCTAAAGGCAGGTGGAGCTGCAGAAACCGTGTGTGGACGATAAGAGACCGCGTTTGTGCGAGTGTTTCTCCTGATGCGGGCTAGCAGCAGCAGCTAGCCAGGGCCTCTGAACTAGCCAGCTAAGCGCCATTAGCGACACAGTTAAAGAACAGCAAGGACTTTTCAGAGTAATGTGATGCGGTATCAGCTGAATTAACGATAAACACGCCTCATCTTACCGCTCTCCAGCTCGTTGCCTTTCTTGGCAGCAGCTGTGTTTCCCATCATGCGGGAGACACGACGGCGTCCTTGGAGAAGCTTCCCTGAACTCGACACCTCGGCTCGACGCTTATTCACGCGGACGACGATCTACGGACAGCGCGATCGGTGGCGGGACAGAGCCCAGAGCCCAGAGCCCAGAGCCCAGAGCCC